AGAAAGGATGGAGGGCAGCCCAGGGCACTGGGATGGTATTGGGGGAAGGGATGTTTTCCCCCTGATTCAACTGTTGCAGGAGTCCTATGAATATGACACAGTTGGACAGTGTTAGTACCATCACACTGATAGTGGAGAATCTGAGGCAGAGAAGTTACGGCATTTATGCAGAGAGGTGGGGGTGGGGGCAAGGGTCCTTGGGAAAGTCACTTCTACTTCCCGAGTCTTGGCCAGGAGGCAGCACTTTTTTTAATAGCATGGACCCTGAAGTCAAACAGCAGGTGTGACTTCATCGTCCTCCACTGACTGCTGTGTGGCTTTAGAGAAACTGCTTGACCTCCCTGGGCCTCATTCTTCTCACCTACCCAAGGAGGACTTGCCTCAGAGAATTTAATAAGATGGTGTAAACAAAGCATGCAGCACTGGGCCAACTCGGAGCCCTGAAGTGGAAGAAAGCCTGGGACATTCAAGGCTTTGATAGATCTACACAGGTAAAGAGACTGGGGTGTTGCCTCCCATCCAAGCACACAGCACCCAAACACCTCAGATGGGTTCTCATCAAGCCTCTCAGAGGTTTGCTCTGACACCTCAGACTCCCCTCTGAGCCTCCTGGGCCAGCATCTCCTCCATGGCCCACACAAATACTGAGTGTGGCTCTCTCCAGCCAGTGCCAGGGAAACCGGGCCAGGAAGCTATCCAGAACGGGCAGCCACGCTTGTCTTCTCCGCCCGAGAGCCTCAAGTGCTGTGCATCAGCGCCCTCTCCTGGCGCACCTTGATGAGACCTCTGCAGCCAATATCTCTGTGGCCAAGAATCTCAGACTTCTGCAGACACCACCTAGGAGGGGATCGTCCTTACCTTCCAAAAGAGAGAGGAAGAATTAAGGCCTGGACTTTCCCAAGATGCCCAGAGAGGCAGCAGCAACACTGGGACCAGAGCCCAGGCAGCCCAGCCTTCCCACCAGCTGCTTCACCCCCTCACTTCACAGCCACTGGCCTCTGTTTCTTGACTGCCAGCTTCAAGCTGAATAGGTGATGGGCCACATTGAGTCTGCACATGCTCTGCACATACCTTCTCAAAGTGCCATCAACAAAGGAAGAAATCCTGCTCTCAATGAGAAGCTCGAAAATCGTGTGCTCCTTTTCCTTCCCATCAGAGTCAGGGAGGGGGCTCAGAGCTCCCGTTGTCTGAGGCCAGTGCAGGAATGATGCAGCGGGGGCAAACGCTCAAAGAAGAAAGACAGCACAAACCTGCGGTCCCGTTTCATTAATCCTTTGAACTCAGTCCTGAGTAATTGTTGTCTGCCTGCTCTGTGGCAGAGCCCGAGAATGTCATGGTGGCAGATAGGTCAGACAGGTCTTATCTATCTTCCTGCAGCAACCAAGCATTGCACAAGGACTGAGCGGCATGGTGAGAGTTGGAAAAAGAAGCAGAGGCGCCTTGAGAGAGGGCAACGAGGTCTTGACCTCCCGTGAGGGGACTGGGGAGGCCTCCTCATGCAGAAGACGCTTCGGCATAGATCTGAAGGAGGTAGGAGTTGGCTATGAGAAGGGCAGGGACAGGGAGCTGCAAGCAGAGGGAGTGGTCAGTGCAAAAGCTCTGTGGGGAAATGTGGCTGGTACCTTTGAGGGCCTGAAAGAAGCTGGGCTTCTGTGATGCTCCAGGAAAGGCCAGGGGGAATCCTCATACCCGGGAGTGATGTGGCCATCTCTTCAGCTCTGTCTTGTACCCAGGCACCCTCCTTGTCTGCCAGCCACCGGCAGGACCTTCAGACTTTTCCCCATATCTCCCCATTTAAGGCCCAGCTGACTGAGCAGTGACTACCCACCAGGACTGTGCCAGGCTCTGCAGGTCCAGTGCAGAATGAGGCAGTACCCCTTCTCAGTGGACTCACAGTCTGGATGGGAAGACAGATTATCAACCGTTGAGTCTGACAGCAGTGATACAGATATGCTCAGAATATTCAGAAACACAGATGAGAGCTAGCAGATCCCGTGTGGCATAGGGTGATGAGGAAGGCCTTCAAGGAAGGCCTGTCAGGAGAAGGCGACAGCTGAGCTGAGTCTTAAGAAGCGGGCAGGGGTCAGCCAGGGGAGAAGGAGGGAGAAAGTGTTCCCCGCAAGGGGATAGCACATGCACAGTCACACACATGCACAGAATGTGGGACATTGAGGTGAGAACTGGAAAGGTAGCCAGACCCAGTCTCACAGAGCTACACACAACACACTGGGAAACTGGAATTTATGCTCAAGATCACAGAAAGTCATCAAAGGTCACTAAACTGAGCAGATTCAAGATTTCAGAAGCTCACTGGGACAGCAGCTGGAGGGTGGATATAGGACTGGGGCAGAGGAACCCAGGAACCCGTGTCCACTGTGATCCAGGCAGGGCAGTGGCACAGGCCTGGGCTGAGCCACATTCAGAGACACCAGTGAGGTCTGGGTGTCATTGAGGGGATAGACACTCAGGACTTTGTGGCTGGTGGGATAAGACCTTGGGAGAGAGGAATGGAGGATGGCACCCAAGGTTCTGTTTTGGGTGGCCACTGGGTGGAGGTGTGTTTCTCTAAGTTGAAGAGGCACTGGAGGAGGAAGAGAGAGTTCATCGAGGGATGCGCTAAGGTGACCTGAGCCACCCAGGTGGAGGTGTTGAGTGCAGGGACGTCTGGAGTCAGAAGTGAGGTGTGGGGGTTATACGCTAAGAGATGGGAGGTGCGGGTGGGTGAGGGTCCAGATGGGGCCCTGAGGAATCCACACCTAAGCATAAGAAGGGGCCAAGGCAGCAGGGAAGATGAGAACAGCTGGAGAAGTGGGAGGAAAGCTGGGTGAGGGCAGGAATCCGGAAGCAGAGGGGAGCAGGCGGCATGGGCAGGGCCTTCACTGCAGCAGGTCAGGCATGCACAGCTGGCCCAGGCCTTTGCTGCCCAAGTGTGGCAGGTGGACACGGGGAGGGGATTGTTGGCTTGCCTGAGAGAGTGGCTGGGGAGGTGGGAGCTGTGGAGCTCTGTAGACCAAAGGTGCAGCCAGGAGACTCCAGGTTTGGAGAGCCTTGCCTGATTGCTTCCTGGAGAACAATGGACTCTCTCTCCAGTGCTCTTACAGCCACCTCTGTGTAGCATCTCAGACGTACTGTCTCCTCTCAAACAGAGACTTTCCCAAAAGCAAGGCACCAGCACAGACTGGTGCTCAGGAAATTTCTGTGGCCTGAAAGGGTCAATAAGAAATGAGGAGTGGGCCACTAGTTAACAAATGCTATCAGCATAGCCCATTTGCATGTCCCACTACAGAGGAAAGTGCTCTGAGAGGTCATCATCAGGGAAGGAACTGAGGGAGGAAGGAAATGGGGTTGCTTTCTGGCCCTAGTCACACAGGGAGTGGATTTCTCTGTGAAGTTTCTTTCTCTGTGTAATGGCCAGTAGCTGCCCTGCCCTCTCCCGAGTGTAGAATGCAAATGTGAACGGCAGCACACTGCAAGTGGTGCTCTGAAGTGCAAAGGCCAGGAAGAAGGGAGGGCCTAGATCCCGGCCGCAGAGCCAGCATTCGGCCTGGGCTCATAGCCCTGTAGTCTGGGATTCTCCAGGCCTGGCCACGGTTGCTGGTAAACCTAGGGTCCTCCCTGCACTTCCCTGGGTGATGCGCCCCATGGGCAGGTTTGTGGCACGTATTTGGGAATGGAGTGCAGTAATTCATTTTGGAAAGTGACCCACTCCTTCTGCTCTGCTCCAACTCATTAGCAGTTCAAGCAGCAGCTTTCTGGGCCTGGGAGGCCATCCTGGGGCTGCCAGGGACACTGCCTGCCAACTTAAGACCTCCTCAATTGGTGCTGACACAGGACTGAGGGGACAATCTGCCTGGCACCCCTTAGGTGGTCTTCCAAAGGAGTAGGTTTTGAGAATTGGCAGGCTTTCCACTTGTGGATGCATTCCAATGGTGAACTCACTAAAGGGCCACTCTTCAGAGACCTGCATTTCTCATAGCAGCCCTAGGCATATATCCCGGGCATGGCAGGGCACAGCTTGGGGTTGATGCTGACGGTAACTCTGAAGCCTCAAGACTGAGTGGGTCACCAGGCACAGCAGGAAGCTGAGGTGCGGGGATGGGGTATGATGGTTCCACTCCTCCCTGGAACTTTGCAATACTTCCCCAGCCAGGCCGGTGACTCCATCCCGGGCTGTCCTCTCCAGACACAGGTCCACTCTCTGTGTGCCCGGGCAGGGGAGGGAGCAATGCTGCAGGAAGCGCCCTTCACCTCCAAGTCCCCACTTCTCAGTGGACAGGCCTTTGTAGGATCAAGCTTCGGTGGTCAGGCTGTCTTGCTTTGGAAGAAGGAGATCTAGCTGACTGTCCCTGCATATTAACCTGGATGACGTGACATGGATATGTCCAGGGGGACAACAGCAGGCCCAGCAGAGGCCCCTTCCTCCTGACCATACCCTCCACCATTCTTGTCAACGTTGGGGTGTCTTGGCTGAGACCCACAGCTGAGTCCCTGCTGGAAACTAGCGGAATGCTGGGTGGCTTCGAGTCTTCTTAGGAGGGGAGGAAAGAAACTCTCGTTGAAACAAAAGCCTCTCCACACAACAGGCCACTTCTCCAGTGAGCATGGGCCTCTGGCCTGGGGCCTGGCTGAATGTAGGGTCTGACTACAGAGAGGGAGTTTGAGGTAGAGAGCACCACCTTCTGTTGGCCCAGGGCGGACAGTGTAGGCTGAGCCAGGGCCAGGCAGGGAGCTGGACCCCTAGAGAGCTGTAGCTGAAAGTTAGACATGACCCTGAACCACCAGGTGCTTGCTCTAGACACGGGGCACTGAGTGGGACATATCTGGGATGAACAAAAAGGCATCACTGCCCAGCGTTGGGATGGGAGAGAGTCCACCGCTGATTGGAATCAGCATTGTCAGCACAGCACAGGGAGAGGAGCAACGCCACCAAATGCCATCTCTGGATGGGCGGCTGGCACTTTCACTTCAAAGGCGCCGAGGCTCTTAAGTTGGCAAGGAAGGGACCCGGAGAAGGGAGGACTAAGAATTTCACTTGATGACCCTTGCCTTTTTGGGTCTGGGATGAGCCGCGCGGAGCGCACCCTTAACTACCCAGAGTGCTGTGCCTTTAAGGTCCACTGGGGGCGTGATGTCAGCCGCCCTCCGGCACTTGGAGAGGTGAGCGCGGCAGCCCGCGCAGCGGGTGACTCGGGGGCTAGGTTTGGAGAAAGACCTGCGGCGTGTTGGAGACTCTGACTTTGGTGTTGCGGCGCGCTAGCGCCCGCGGGCCATGCCCCACTGACCCTAAGTGAGCACTGCCCCGGCTCCGGGAGGGCGAGACCGGAGCACCGGCCATGGGAAGCCTCCAGCTGGAAGACTTTGCGGCGGGCTGGATCGGAGGTGAGCGTGCTTACCCGGGACACCCGGTCAGAGAGAGCGAGCCTGGTGGAGTTTGCCGCAGTGCTCTGGGGAAACTTTGCGCCTCGGTGTGCGCCCATCCCGCTCCCCGTTGCGCGCGCAGCCTGCTTTGGGGAGTGCCCGGCCCCGAGATCCCCCTGGTGGTCTGGCAATTGCCAGGGCTAAATTCTAGAGCTTCACAGCGATTCGGGCTGAGCTTCTGCTTTGCTCATTAAGTTAGGAACCGTGGGACCTGATGCAGTAATGATTAAACAGCTGGTCAAAGCCCACAGCCAATGGAGGCTCCTAGCGGCGCACACACCCTTCAGTGACCTGGTGCACACCTGAATTGCGGACGTGACTCGCGGGAACTTATGTATGAGGGTGGCGCTTGGCTGCTGACTGCGGGGCGCAGGGTCGTGGGGAGCCAGGCTTCGAGATCAGGCCGGCCCTAGAGGGCGTCCCGACTGGAAGGAGCGGAGCTCTCACAGCAGGGAGCGGAGCGCCGGCTACAGGTGCTCATTGTCAGGTTGCAAGGAGCACTTAACTGCCTTCAGCCGCCGCCAGCCGTCAGCCATCGCCTACCTCCAAGGCACCTTCTCCGGGTACTCTTGGATCTACTGGTCCCTTCGCCACAGCTCCCGGAGCCACATTTTTACTGGGCCTGGGTTGGGTTGCCTGGGGGAAAGTTGCATTCATTTCCTTGCTTCTCCATTTTTCTTTCCGATAGGTCTATCCCTCTTTTCTCAGCTATTAGGAAAGGGGGAAGTTTGAGGGACTTTGCTAATTGTAATAAAATCAAATAAAAAGTCTTTCTTTTGACCTATCTAGAAGGGTTATCCTAAAAGGGATGTTGGCAAATGTAGCCCCTCACCAAAGGGGGGAAAAAGATAATAAGATGAAAAGAAAAACAAACCAGACTGGATTCTAACTCCTCCCCTCCTACCTAGCAGGAGACCACCTCTCTACCCCCACCGGTGGCTGCAGAGCCCGGCTTCACACCTTCCTGAGCAGAGGTGGCTCCTTTCACATTGAGTAAGTCTGCTGGCATAGATGCCCTTGGGTGGGGCTGAGACCCGCCTCTCCTAACTGTCCCAGCCAGGGGGCTGCGGTCCCCAGGCATATCCAGGCCCTTTTTGACTGGACATTATTCCACCATTCAGCGGGGCAGGCAGAGAGTGGAGACACTTCTGTGGGCTGCCCCTTAAATAAGCAGACTACCTTCAGTAGGGATGCAAATGGCTTGGTTTGAGAAATGCCCTGGAAGGTAGGGCTGAGTCAGGGTAGTTCCAAGACTCTGATACCCCTCCCCACCCCCAAACGTGATAACACGCGAACCCTCCCCAACTCACAGCAAGTAGGGAATTTTTGTGTGTTATTCTGGTATTGTCCTTACTTTGGTGATGTTATTGAAAGTAATGGCAAAAATCGCAATTACTTTTGCAACAAACTAATAACATGCTTTTTTTTTTTGGCTTCCATAAAATGATGATAAGTGTTTACTACATTTGAATACTTACTAGCTAGGTGCCAGGTATTGTTTAAGTGCTATATGTATTCTTTTAAAATAATTTTATCAAGGTTTATTGTACATATTATAAAATTCACCCATTTCAAATATACAATTCAATGCCTTTTAGTAATTTTACAGTGGTGCAGCCATCACCATAAATTTGTTTTAGAACGTTTTCATCCCCCAGTAAGATCCCTCGTTTGAAGTTGAATGCTGTTCCCTCTCCTTAATCTCCTTGCTATAAATTTGCCTTTCCTGGATATGTTATGTCAATTGAATCTTGCAATATGTGATCTCTTGTGTCAGTTTATGTATAGTTCTTTAGTTATTATAACAACCCCAAAGAGGCAGGTACCATTGCATCTTTATTTTACAGATGAGGAAATTGAGATACAGAGAAATTCACTGACTTACCTAAGACCATGCATCTAGCATTGGCACTAAGATTCCAACCCAGGCTCCCTGGCACCAGAATCTGCCATCTTAATTTCATCTTAACTCTTTCCAAACAAACTTACATAACAAAATGTTGCCCTTTTTTTTTATATTACCCCCACACACATACACATTTTGTGTGAGATTTTACTGGTTTGTGAAGTGCAAAGGTCTGGAAACCACTGACCTCATAATTCCATTTTTAAAATCTCAAATCCCCTGCTTTCAAATGGGTGGCAGGGAGATGTTGGCTCAAGGCTGGATCTAAGCCTGCTCTGAGCTGAAGGATGTGTGCACTCACTATGGAGGAAGCCATGGAGCCTGGGACCAGCGCTCCTCCCCCCACTACTGGGAAGGGTCAATTACTGCTATCACCTCTCTGCCTCTGCCCAGTTTAGTAGGTCGCAGGGCATGAGAGGGGACAGGTGGTTTTGGACCCAGGGACTCATTGTTCTGGGATTAGCTGGTTTCTTTGTCCCTAAAAATATCTAATAGTCCAGGAGCCCTTAGCTACCTTACCTGGTTAAATCACCTCTACTAATGCAGATATTTCCTTCTTCATCAGTGTGCTTGGCAATTTGTCTTTGAAGAACAGTTTCCCTTTCAATTTCAGTCACCAACTGCTACAACAAGGCTGATATGGTTTAGCTGTTTCCCCACCCAAATGTCATCTTGAATTGTAGCTCCCATAATTCCATGTGTCACAGGAGGGACCCCTGTGGGAGGTAATTGAATCATGGATATAGGCTTTCCCATGCTGTTCTCATGCTAGTGGATAAGTCTCATGAGATCCAATGGCTTTATAAAGGGAAGTTCCCTACACAAGCTCTCTTTTTGCCTGACACCATGTAAGATGTGACTTTGCTCCTCTTTAACCTTCTACCATTATTGTGTGGCCTCCCCAGCCATGTAGAACTGTGAGTCAATTAAACCTCTTTCCTTTATAGTTTACCCAGTCTCAGTAATGTCTTTATTAGCAGAATGAGAATGGACTAATACAGTAAGTTGGTACCAGTAGAGTGGGGCGTTACTGTAAAGATACCGGAAAATGTGGAAGCAACTTTGGAACTGGGTAACAGGCAGATGTTGGAACAGTTTGAAGGGCTCAGAAGAAGACAGAAAAATGTGGAAAAGTTTGGAACTTCCTGGAGACTTGTTGAATGGTTTTAACCAAAATGCTGATAGTGATATGGATAATGAAGTCCTGGTTAAGATGGTCTCAGATGGAGATGAGGAACTTGTTGGGAACTACAATAAAAGTGACTCTTGCTATGTTTTCGCAAAGAGACTGGTGGCATTTTGCCCCTACCTTAGAGATCTGTGGAACTTTGA